TTTAGATTATGGCTCATATAACTTCGTCCTAATTTCTTACAACTGTGTATCACCCTTTTAGACAACTGGGTTTGTAAGGATTGGACTTGAAAGCCACGTAGGCGTGGCATGCAACACTAGTGTTAGCTATACTACAGCAAACTACAGGTGACTAGATGCTAGTTCCTAGTTATACATAATCTACATAACTTGCACTTTCTCCCATTTATGGCTGGAAAAATTTCATTTAGGATTTGGGAACCTAAGATGGAGTAACTCCCTGAACCCTAAACTCTACACCCTGAAACACCACAGAGGGGGTGGGGCTGGAGGTTAGGGCATATATAGGGCCTTACCCAAAACACTATGTACTCTCTGAGGGCCTAAGTACCCAGAAATGGGACCTACATGAATAGCGGGTACTTGGGGTAGCACTTAGAGTTTTAAGGTTGGGGACTAAACCCTAATCCCTAATCCCTAAACCGTTAACCCTATAGCCCTAAACCCTATAACTGTAGACCCCATTACTCTAAACAAGCCCTGATCCGTTGGTTGTTGGCTTACCAGGCCTTGCGGCAAGGCTTGAAGGTTGCAGTTTTTAGTTGAGCACAGGGCCAGCTCGTGCGATTGGCGTTTTTCTTCAGGCTTGTGAGACCAAAGGGTATGGCTTTAGGGGCTTGATGTTTGGGATTTTGGGATTTCAGGTCAGGACTTTCGGGATTTAGAATTTGGGGTTCGTAGTTTTTTCCCGGGCTGCAGCTACAGGGAACGCACAAGGCGGTATGTTGGCCTCTCGCCACATAATCCCTAATGTTCAAAACCCCACGCCCCCTGGTATCAAATACACCCACTGTAGTACCCTGCAATATACTGGGAACATTTTATATTGGGGGCGAGGGGAGGGCTAACATTCCCGAGCTATCTATCGACCAACGCCACGTTGAGGCCCATTTGAGGTACGCTGCATTGAAACTCTAATGTGTACATGAAACTCACCACCTAAACCCTGAATCCTAGCAAGGGCTGTAGAATGCCTAAGCCCAAAACCCAAAACCCAAAACTCTCCCAAAAATGGAAGACGTCTCTCATTCTTGTGCACTAACAGAGATAGAAATCATATAAGCTATAGTCTGAACTCCTAGCATCCCCTTAACTACCCCTATATAAGCCCCTGTATAATCCCCTATATATCCCCTTGAAGGAGTTTAGACTCTAGCTCATATGAGCTATAGTCTGAACTCCTCCCCTTAACTACGCCTACATAAACCCCTATACAACTCCCCCACCCCCCCCCCAACAGTTCAGACTCAACATCGTAGTAGTTCCCCCACATAATATTGTAGTTTCCATTTACTTTTCCATTATTCCCTATATAACCCCATAATGTAATGATAATCCCCAAAATCCAGGGCTCATCTGGTAATTTCCCAAAATAGGGGGACCTTAATATAGACCCCAAAATATTATAATCCTTATAATTGGGACCCCCAAAATGGTACCCTAAACCCTAAACCCTAAACCCCTAATAATTTTGGGAAACCCCCATCTCGAGCTAAAGAGCTGTAGAGGAAGGCTCTCCAAGCCGCAAAGAGCACTACAGTCACCAGCTGAACCTCTTCTTGAAGTCGAGGTGGGTGTAGGTTTAGGGTTTAGGGGTTTAGGGTTTAGGGACTTTGGGGTTTAGGGTTTGGGTTTTGGGGTTTGGGAAGCTCAGGGGTTTAGCTTAGGGGGGCTTCGGAGGAGAGCAGATTCGACTTTAGTTTGATCATTATTCACACCTCTACAGCAGGCCCTTAAGCCCTAAACTTGGTTGCGAGTTTAGGCCAAGAATGTATGTAGCAAATCGCTTGTCACTCGAATGCCTTGTTTTCAGCGTTTAGGGTTTAGGGCTTGCAAAGGATAAAGGACTCTAGGACATGACCTGTTTAGGACATGACCTGTTTATGGCCTAATAGGGGCTTAGGGTAGGGTTCGATTCGTAGAGAGAAGCAGCTCTTAACCTTTTGCAAAAGGCCAGATTATTCATCCAGAACTAGAAGCTGTTTTTCCCGCGACCCTAAACCCTAAACCCTTTGAAGAAGTGAGGAGCGTGAAGGCTCGGGACCAGCTGGAGGACATTGTACACGACCTCATGGGGCAAGTAAGGTTCTGGGAGCTGAGGATTCAGGAGGTTTAGGTTCTATAGGGTTTAGGGTTTAGGGTGTACAAGCGCCCAGAAGTCTACAGGGTCCACAAACCTATATAGATATGTATATATGTACGAATATAATTTGGGTCCCAGGAGCAACTATATGGGAACCTCTTTGTGCCCCAAGTGTCTGCCAATTAGGTCCTGGGCCCTTTGGGGATTTTAACCAGAAACAATTTAATCCCTCAAGCCTAAACCCATAACTTACTGATTCTTCAGAGGGAATAGGGAATCTGTTATAGAGGGTTATCATTCCCTTTTTCCTAATACCTAAACTCTATAGGGATTGTATTCCCTTATTCCCTACTAATAACCCTAAACCCCAAAACCCAAAACCCTGACCTGACACCCAATGTGCGGATGCCATGTGCTCAAACATTCTTCATGGAGGGCTTGTAAGCTGTATGGACCCCGTAGGCCATGTACTTTGTCAATAATTCCTGATGGGGGGATGTAGGGTTTAGGGTTTAAGGCTATACTAGAATGAAGACCCAAATCCCAAGGCCACTTCTTTAAGGCCGTGTGACGAATCCATCTGCCTACCCCCGTTTAGCGTGTCGGGCCCTAAACCGTAAACCCGGCTCTGGGAACGCAGAGCCTCCTGCGTAGGATAAACCCTATAACGTAAACACGTGGTACATAGCTCTTTTTAAGGTTTAGGGTTTAGGGCACCCTTGTCCTAAAACCATGAGACGACACAACAAGGAAGTACGTAGGAACCTTTGAGCCCATATGCTGTCATGAGTGGTTCCCTCGGGGTCGTGAGCTCTGAAAAGGAGTTCGCGATTTCCCTGGCTTGCTCCCGTGCACTGGAAACGACCCTAAACCCTAAACCGCAGAAGATAGACCAACAACGTTTAGTAGAACTTCGAATCCCAACCGTTAGCCCTCAACACCCCAAATCCCTTAAATCAAATCAGTAGCTCCTAGCCGTCACGCGACACCACCCCGAGCTTGAACAGCCTTTGGATTGGATCCTTGAACCATGGACAATAGCCCTAAATCATAGTGTTTGGGACCAGAAGCCCAGATGTACACACCCTAAAGGTACAAACCTGAAGGGTAATTACGAATTTCTTGTATGATCCTAAACCCTAAGCCCCTAAAGCACGTCAAACCTAAACTTAAAGTCGTTGAGCCAAGGGGCACCGATGAGGGTTGTCAGCTGCACTGTCCACATGGTACCGAGCCTGTGGCGGGTTCAGAAAAGATTTAACAGCTTTTACCCAAAATTAGAGTCCGATTTTGGTACCTGTAGAGGGGGATATATATATATATATGGATTACATAGGGGTATATAGGGTTTAAGGGGTTAAGGGTTTGGGGGTTCAGAGTTGTTGCGTTTAGGGAGCTAGGGCTTAAGGGGTAAGGCTTAAGGGTTGAGACTTTAAGAGGTTTCGGGTTTAGGGCTTGTTGTTTGGGTGTTAGCTGTCTGTGCAGGTAAAAGGTTGTCAAAAATCCAGGTCCTTCTTTGGCGTCTCTGTTTATTGGGGCATTGTTACGATCGGCACTCCAGAGCATGAATTGTTGACAGCCCTCCAAATACTGTAGTTCTTCAGCATAATCCTCCTTGAAGGGTCAGGGGGTTTAGTAAGACCTCGTGAATCTAGAAGCCATAAAATATCCCCTAAACCCTAAACCGTCATCAACCTACGTACAACGCCCCCTGACCCTTCAAGTATCCCTATGCAAGTCAAGGCAACCCCTACACTAATTCAACCTGCTCCTCGCTGAGCTGTTGGGAAAAACAGATTAGGGCTAGGTTTGAAGTTTAGGGACGGCCCTGATTTCTGCACCTATATAGCACTCGGCAAGGATGATACTTAGGATCATACGTACCGTAAACCCTTAGCCCTACGCCCTAAACCCTAAGCCCTAAACCCAAAACCCCAGCCCCCAAGCCCCAAGCCCTAAGCCCTAAGCCCTAAACCCTAAATCCTAAGCCCTAAACCCAAAACCCTAAACCGAGTGGAGGCTCTGGCTGAAGGAGGCTCTTCTTCGCGAAGCCCTGAAGCCACAACCCCGAGCCCAGTTATCCCCACGAGTAACTCCCTAGGGATCCAAATAGCCCAGTGTAGGTACTATCTACAGACTTTAGTGCGCAACCCTAAACCCTAAACCCCCTAAACCACCTAAACCCTAAACCCTAAATTGTTTGTATACTTGGATCCCTAGAAACCCCCTTGCTAAGTCCCCGGCTCTACGAATCCCCTCCCCCTTCATGATGAACCCCCCATCCCCCTGATAAACAACCCCCAATATGGTGCCTGGTATATATGTTAAGGAGAATATCGATAAGTACGGGTTGGGGAGTACCAATGGGGGCGGAGGCACTCATCCGTCGTCATCACGTTAATGAAATTCAAGCCCCAGGATTTTCTCAGGAGGGACTGATACAGCAGGGATCTACACAACAAGGAAAACAAACAGACTAATAGTACCACGAGGGAAAAGGGTGATATAAACATATATATATATATGTACATATGCAGAATTCAACTCCTAGCATCTCCCTTAGTAAACCCTGTAATACTCCCCTATATAGCCCCCTTTAAGGGGTTTAGACTCTAGCTCAAATGATCATGAAGGGGGCTCAGCCCTAGAGTTAATTTTCATTTACGGATTCCGGGCTCAGAGCTTTGGGTTGTTGAGGGTTTGGAGTTTAGGTTTAGGGTTTAGGGGTTCTGCTTTTCTGAAGGTTTGAGTTTTGAGTTAATGGACAGACCGTTGACAGTACACTAGGCAGTCTCAACCATCGGTTGGAGCCCTTAACTTCAAAGCTTGAGCCCTAATCCCTGGATACTGCCCGCACCCAGCAGCCATATATCTTAGGGGCAATTTTTCAGGCTATATATATACATATACATATATGCGTGTATATACATGTATATACATATACATATACATATACATATCCATGTTATAAGCATTGGCCAGCTCTTACTGGGTGGGGCAGTATCCAACCGAAACCCTAAACTTAGCCCACATTACCCTAGGGAGAAAAAAAGGATCCTTTTTACAAGAATATAAAGAATCCCATACCCCAAAAAGTATAAAGGATCCCTAACATTGATACAGTAAACTCTCAATCAACTCAACAGCCGCAATTGACAAGCCTGTGCATGCTAAGCTCAATGAGCGGCACGGCAACGAAACCAAAAGGAATGACGAATCCTGGACGGGGCTAAGGGTTTAGCGTGTAGGGTTAGGGTGTACAAAGTTTGAAGTCTAGGGTTTAGGGTAGGTTTGATTTTTGATTGCGACGCTTGACCACTTGTAGCCTATCCACCAAAAAGATGGTGGCAAGGGTTGTACTGAAAAACTGGGTTACTGTTAAGGAGCTTGATTGGTGTAAGTTACCATAATATGGGTATATATTACATAATACGGTTTCCTTATCATAGTAACTCATAATGCAATGTATTATAACTTACTATAAAATACCCAACATGCTATAATATACCATAATCATATACTGTTCTAAATACCTTAACATATACTATAATATACCATAATATACTCTAATATGCTATAATATACTATAATATACCAAAATAATAGACCCTAAACCCTAAACCCTAAACCTTAACAGGAACCCAGAAAATGTGGTGGCTTTCCGCTTGTGAGGGGTCTGAGGATGCTGTTGGTCAGGGTCCAACCCTACACCCCAAAGCCTAAGCCCTAAAGCCTAAAC